ACACACACACACAGACAGACAGACAGAATCAGGAGAACAGCAGAGATGAGTTTCGTTTTTATTTCCTTGTCGACCATTTCTGTAGCACATATAATAAAAAAAAAAAAAAAAAAAAAAGAAAAAAAGGAAAGAAAAGATGATACATAGGGCTCTCATTCCGAACAATTTATATATCTAATTGTACCGTACTATAAATTTAACAATGATTGACTAAATAACAGAAGAGCTATATATGTGGATTTGGTAATTTGACGGCAGTTTATCTACTAATTAACATATAAATTATTTTCATATTGATTAATAATATTTCTGATAAAGCAATAATAATTAATAGAAACGCAATGGTCTTTATTGCTGTTTATTAAGAACATTAAAATATCTAAGACCTAGTCAGATTATTACAACTTTTAATAAGAATTATTCATTATTATAATAATGATGATGATAATAATAATAGTAATAGTAATGATATCATGACGATATTTTAATAATTACGATATATATGTTTACTATTAGTTATTTGTGTATAAAATTACATTAAATTAAAATAAAATATGTTAAAAATACATACTTATTCTTAATGATTAAACAATATTTCTTAACTATAATGCCTAATGCATTTTTATAGCTCTTATTATAAGTATAAAAATACTTAATAATAAACAGCAATAAGGGTGGTGTGTACGTTCATGGTTTTTGCCGTTCATGGAAAAACGGTTGTAAGTGAAATAAGTCAAATTCAAATCGATAGAAAGAAAGGGAAGAATTGTTGTTAATTATTCAAATTATAACTTTTTGTTCCTCCTATGACTCGTATAATATAAGATATACTTAATTTTTTAACTTTGCAATATGGCTTCATTGTATTTTTCTTGAAAATTTCCATGAATGGTTTTAACTTTACACAAAACAAGAGATATAACTTTTTATATTAACGAATTCTTTTTAATTAGATAAATGTCAATAAATGTTCATAGGACACACAACAAACATGTACATGGAGACACATATATATATATATATATCATGAGAAAATAAGGAGAACAAGAGAAAAGTATGGGATCATACAATCATCATCAATTTTGTCGTTGGTCGAGTTTGTACAAATTGTTTAAGAAAAAAAAAAAACAAAAACAAAAAGAAAATATTAATAACAGTATTACATCTAAAAAGAAATGAAATTTAATGAAAATCATATCATCTACACCTGTAGAGAGAAAGAGATAGAGAAACGAAAGGAAGCTAAAGGGTGGTAATATAACTAAATGACATAGTAAATATTATTATTATTATTATCATCATCATTTTTGGGAAGAAAAAAGACAAAATTAAATGATAAACTGAATGATAGCCAAAATGATAACAATGAAATATATGCGTCTCTATAAATAGAATTGTAATATTTTGTCCAAAATTTCTGTTCGCTTGTTAATCATATAAAAGAATAAAATAATAGACGTAGTTAAAAAAGAGAGAGAGAGAGAGAGAGAAAGAAACTTATATTTAAGATTGAAATATTTACAAAAAATATGAAATGATGAAAAAATGCGTTGCCTTGTTGATTACTTTTACATCGTTTCTATCTTTTCTGACATAATTTTCTTGTGCTGTTGATATTTTGAATGAATAATTAAGTGACAAAATATACACATACGTATATACAGCATTCACACAGCATTCACACAGCATTCACACAGCATTCACACAGCATTCATACAGCATACATACATACAAGGGTGCTATTCTTAACTTCAACGACAAATTTAAGAAGAACAAATTTTCTTGTCCCAACGATCGTTTTTCTTATCGTACATACATATACTCTCTAATCGTTATCTTATTCTACATACAAGTAATATATGTACATGTATATGTCTTACACATCCGTATACGCACGCATGCACACGCACGTACACATACAGATAAATTACATAGATACATACTTATATACAAATAATTTACATTTATCATTTTTATTAAAAAAAAAAAAAAAAAAAAAAAAATAGCAACGTGAAAGATATTATTAATTAGAAAAAGAAAAAAAAGAGTTAACTGTACTTTTTCCAATATAACTATTATTAATAATGACAAATTAACGATGCAAGTTTAAATTGGAGCAATATATGTATATGTTTAATATAATATTATATGAGCTACTCATTGGCTATCTCGATTAACTTGACTAAACAAAAAGTCAAGAAAATTCACAAAGTAATATTGTTTTATCATTTATTATTGAAGAATCATAGAAATGGTTTTTATTTAATAATGTTAAGTTTAATTATTAAGGAAATTGATTTTTTTTTTTTTTTAAATATAAAAAGTGGTGTTAATTGATTTAGCCTGTAAACGGCTTGATACACATACACATCGAAAGCACCCGCTGAATATAATTTCTTAAATTTATTTCACATACATATATACACGCAG